AGCATATATGATTCCATGAAAGTCCTAGAGTAATTTCACTTAGTTGGGAAACAGCATGCCAATTTTATACATGAAAATAGCAACCTGAATATATCTCCTAAAGTCAGCAAAAAATGGTTAACAGTCCGGAAGGACTTTTAAAGATATTCAGTTTCTATTCCAGATCTCATCTGTCAGTTTATTGTACTGTGATGGCTTGCGTGTTGCTGTGATACTGGAAGCTATGCCACCAGTATTTCAAATACCAGCAGGGTCACCCATGGTGCAGAGGTTTCAGCAAAGCGTCCAGACTAACAAAGACTAGGAAGAAGGACCTGGTGATCCACTTCTTAAAAAAGTGATCAGCAAAAGCCTTATGAATAGCAGCGGAACATTGTTTGATACAATGCCAGAAGATGAGCCCCTCAGGCAAGAAGGCACTCAAAATATGACTGGGGAAGAGCTACCTTCTCAAAATACAGTCAACTTAGTGATGTGGATGCAGTAAAGCTTTTGAGACCTCCATTTGCTGATGTGACATGACTCAAAATGAGAAGAAACAGCTGCAAATATCCATTAATAATCAGAATGTAGAATGTATGAAGTATGAATCTAGGAAAATTGGAATTCATAAAAAATGAAATAGAATGCATAAAGATCAGTATTCTAGGCATTAGTGAGCTGAAATGGACTGGTATTGGCCATTTTGAATCAGACAATCATATAGTGTACTATGCCAGGAATGACAACTTGAAGAGGAATGCATATCACATCACGTTCATCGTTAAAAACAACATTTCAAGATCTACCCTGAAGTACAACGCTGTCAGTGATAGGATACTATCCATACGCCTACAGGGAAGACCAGTTAATACGACTATTATTCAAATTTATGTACCAACCACTAAAGCCAAAGATGAAGAAATTGAAGATTTTTACCAACTTCTGCAGTCTGAAATTGAGCAAACGTGAAATTAAGATGCACTGATAATTACTGGTGATTGGAATGGAAAAGCTGGAAACAAAGAAGGATCAGTCATTGGAAAATATGGCCTTGGTGATAGAAATGATGCCGGAGATCATATGATAGAATTTTGGAAGACCAGCGACTTCTTTGCAAATACCTTTTTTCAACAACATAAACAGCAACTATGCACGTGGACCTCGCTGGATGGAATACACAAGAATCAAATCGACTACATCTGTGGAAAGAGACAATAGAGAAGCTCAATATCATCAGTCAGAACAAGGCCAGGGGCCGACTGCAGAACAGACCATCAATTTCTCATATGCAAGTTCAAGTTGAAGCTGAAAAAAATTAAAACAAGTCCACGAGAGTCAAAGTACAACCTTGAGTATATGACATCTGAATTTAGAGACCATCTCAAGAATAGATATGATGCATTGAACACTAATGACTGAAGACCAGACGAGTTGTGGGATGACATCCAGGACATCATACATGAAGAAGCAAAAGGTCATTAAAAAAAACAGGAAAGAAAGAAAAGACCAAAATGGATATCAGAAGAGACTCTGAAACTAGCTCTTGAGCATAGAGCAGCTAAAATGAATGGAAGAAGTGAAGTAAAAGAGCTGAACAGAAAATTCCAAAGTGCAGCTCGAGAAGACAAAGTTTTATAATGAAATGTGCAAATACCAGGAGTTAGAAAACCAAAAGGGAAGAACACTCTCTGCATTTCTCAAGCTGAAAGAACTCAAGAAAAAATTCAAGCCTTGAGTTTCAGTACTGAAGGACTCTATAGGCAAAATGTGGGATGACACAGGAAGTATCAAAAGAAGATGGAAGGAATACATAGAGTCACTGTACCAAAAAGAATTGTTCAATGTTCAACCATTTCAGGAGGTATCATATGATCAAGAACCTATGGTATTGAAGGAAGAAGTCCAACCTGCACTGAAGACACTGGCAGAAAACAAGGCTCCAGGAATTGACAGAATACCAACTAAGATGTTTCAACAAATGGATGCAGCATTAGAAGTGCTCACTCGTCTATGCCAAAAAATTTGGAAGACAGCTACC